AAGGAAGTAAAACAATAATGATCAATATACAATTATCCTATTATCAAAATGATTTGCTCATGAAGTATATATACATATATCAGATAAAAGTACAATAAAAGGGATAAAACAATGAAAAAAAAAGCAAACTTGAGCTTTCTGTGTGAAATTCAATTATCATATATAACGAACAATATAGATAGTTTTATATTAATCAAAACTTTGAAACTAATTGAGAAATTTTACTTTTAACCATCATATTTATTGATTTCAATACATAATTATTGGTACATGAGGGCACCAGATATATATGCACCACATAATAATAATAATGATGAGAATGAGAAGAGATAAAGAATGTACGATGTGTATAAAAAGAAAAAAAGAGAACAATAACGACCACAAATTAGTGTATGGTAGTGAAATAATAACAATGATGAGGGAAACGGAAAGAATTCTTTCAGTTAAAGAAGTTACAACTACTTTTTATGAAGAAAGTAAAAGAAGGTTACAGCAGGATCGCCATTGGCTTCTATTCTGAGCCATATCTGATAACATATCTAGCCACTGTATCACATCATCTCTAGGAACCCAACTAAAGAGTCGTGAATGACCAACAGATGCCAGTTCTGTACAGCATTCTTTCATACCACAACACTATTTCATAAACTCATCACCTCTCCGCTTTTTCCAACCAGTCCCAGGGTCGGCGAATAATGCACGACAAGGAATTCTCTGGGACGACATTTGTCGAACATGTCCAAGTCACCGAAGTCGATGTTTCAAGATAGTGACATCAACTGAATTATCGTCTCTATGTCCGAACACACGATGCTGAACCTTTGCATCACTAACATGATGTTGCCACTGGATATCAGCAATTGTTCAGAGACAACGATGATCAAACACAAAGAGTCGTACAACATCCTCAACTCGGTGAGGCCAGGTTTCGATAGGATAAAAATGATTGTATTGAACCTATTAATTGCTCAATTCCATCTCTGTAGACTGCATTTAATGAGAAAATCAACACTACCTCTAAATCCTAATACAAAAATCCTTAATCTTAGAAAAAAAACATTATCCTGGTGGTACTGTATCTTATAGACGAACTAAGCGGATGGCAATTCTGGGACATTTTGCGCGGGATTTATTCATACATTTGGCTACAGAGTATTTTTGCGCTTTGGTTGATGTCAGTTTATGATGAGAATCTTAACTTTAAATTCTTAATTCTTATTCTAAATGCCTAATTCTAACCAAGACCAATGTGGGGATAGAAACTTCCGTTTGAGACCTTTTAAAAGTTCGAGAATATGGATAATCAGTATCTATGAGAACGAGTTTCTTATTTGCTCTTTTTTTATTTACAGGCAGAGTAACCTGATAGGAACTCAATAGATTAATTAGCAATGAAAAATCTGATTACACTTCGTAATATTACAGTTTTCCTTTCCATAAACTATCCATTTGCAAAGTCTATTTTCTGATTGGTTAAGAACTGGTTGAAAATTCGTCGCGGTAGATTCAGGTATGTCTCTTATACTATACTAACCAACAAAGATTGAATACATGTTATCAATGAGCACACACTGAATCCTTAACAGACTATAGCGAAAAGAATTTCAAAGTTTGCCAAAAAATTTCAATTCACGTTAATCTTGACATGATTGTTTCTTATTCATATTCCCTCTCCTTTTATTTCTTATGTGTATGTTTTTACCATGGAGCTTGAATGAAGACGTATCCATACACATCAGAGATGAAGTTTACTTTCTTTCATTAACACTTAATTTACATGAGAGTTGTTGATAATCTCCAAGTAGACTATGTTTTGAAACTAATAAGTGAAATCTATTTAAACCTGTACTTTAGACGATGAAAAAAATGAGGTCATAAAGATGGATGTTTTCTAAGGACTGTCCAAGAAAATTATGTCTCCCAAACGCTACACCAAGATTAATCAGTATTTTTAGAAACAGAATCCTCGTAAATCTGGAAACAATTACGCCTTATTTCGTCAAGATTACTGTCTCATTCATCATCACCAAAAAAGTACCAGCTAGCTAGCTATCCCATGATATAATGCAATCGTCGAACATATTAACGTGAATTAGTAACTGTCAGCAAGATTGCTTCAAATAAGAAATAAAATGACCGTATTAAGAAACTTTGAAATCTGTCTAATCAAATGAATAGATCAGGACATATTATGATCAATTCAGTTTACTTATAAATAAAAGGAGAGGAAATCTGTTAAGTCTTATTAATAACAATTGACGTATTAGGGTTTTAGGTCGACCTACGGAAAATTCGATCTACGAATGATTGAAGGTTTCTCTAATACGACACAATATATAGGAAATTAAATGGACCGAACATTTGTCATACAGTAGCACTTCAACATTTTTAATCCACAAGCTAATAGAGATAGAGAAAACGGGACTATCAGTATAACTTTACATTCTGTAAAGAAGTGAAAAATTGAAAAACACCTCTGACTTTGGGGGACATAATAAAGTTAGTTAGCTAAAGATGACGACAATTAATCATCCGGTAACAGCAAAAGAAAGAACTAACATACAACAACACAAAACTTAATCTCTTCATAGTAAAGCTAAAATTATGTTACCTAGTTAAACAATGACAATTACGGGATCACAAAATCATAATATAGATATGTAAAAATAAATTACTAATTAAAATCCATTGACTTTTACATAGAAACTTGTAAATTAGAGTTCTATTAAAAAGCAAGTGTGGTTAGATAGAAAAAGAACGGTAACTACTGAATAAACAACAACTTCATTGAAATTTAACTTGAAGTCTCCCTATGAAAGGCAACAAGAAAAATCATCCACTAGAAAACAGATATCCAAACATCAAAGAGAGACAGAGAGAGTAAAAAAGATTTACTTTCAGTCCCGTTTAAAAATGTCATGTAAGTCAAGTCAATTATCACATGACCAATTTCACATGCCAATTCATGAAAATCAATAGTACATGTTCACACGAACATTTAGACTGATCACTGTATAATAATTAATGTTACGTCTGTCTAGGTCTTGGTTCTGATTGAATTTCATCGATCAAGTTCCAATCTACCTACTGATCTAAGTGACTCGATATTGTGTGCAATATGCTTTGATGTTGGATAGCTGTAACTAATTAGCGGGAAGTCATGCTTGACACAATTTTCGTGATAGTTGACAATCGTCAGCAAGATGATCATGAGTGGATTGAAATGAACCCCCTTCATGTGATTCAATTCTGTGTATCACCATCACCACCTAACACAAGCATACATATACATGTGATGTACGACTGTTCTCTTAATATCCTGCTTCGGTTTGGGCACCCGGGTAGTTTCCTAGCCCTTATACAAACCGAATGATTTATGTGGCGCATATCTATTTGCTGCCTTCTTGTACCAATGTTGAAAATGAATACACAACAGCATAACTGTAAATCATAGTAATAACATTATGTTAGTAACATCTATTTGTCTAAAAATCAATATATGGTTTTTTATTATCAAACAAAGCACACACTCAAATCATAGTTGACAATATGAATAAACAAGTGTATTTTACCACTGAATTTTAGGTTTCAAACCAAAGTGAGAATGCGATACATCATCATCAAATTTCAAATATGACAATAAAATTGTATAAGTCCTATTGAAATCATTTTAATATATACAGAAACAGTCAACTAGCATTCTATTCTCTCTTTCCAATCCTATTCTATCCTGGAATGTATTGGAATCAATGTCAATGAGTTGTGACAAAGGGAAGCAGATAGACAAAAGACAAGTGACTTTAAAATTTGAAATATTTCCATATTGTAAATTTAGAACAACATAGATATATAAGCGAACAATATTGTTTTCGATTAGATCTTCATCAGGCTTTACTCTAATATACAGTAATGTATTTATATGCATATATGAATTTATTAAACTAATCAAGGTAGTTTATGAGTCAAATGATAACTATGGAAACGATTACATAATAAGTGAAAAGTACCAATTAATAGTGTGATAACAGATGCATTAGTTTTTGATTGAGATCATGAACCGACTGATGTGAGACCACCTTTGGAAACCTGGAAGCACTGGACGGCCGTTTCGTCCTATTGTGGGACTCCTCAGCAGTGCGCATCCACGATCCCGCTCGCGGGATTCGAACCCAGGGCCCTCGGTCTCGCGCGCGAACACTTAACCTACTGGATCACAGAGCCGACATCCAATGGTGGTAAAGTCTAACATCGAATCAATGTTACATAATCGGAAATAGGTCAATGATTAGGAGAAAATATAGACAATGAGATAACATTTATAAAATTATAGGATGACGTAATAAGAAGTGTTCAAATAATTGGACCGTTAAAGGTATATTTGAGAAAAAATAAAATAAAATGGTAAGAGGGGGTGAACACCTCCCTTCGTGGTTAAGAAAAGGTAACGTCAAGACAATACGCAGCTCGGTTCTATCACACTTGATCGATAGCGGTCATGTAGTGGACAGAAACAAGTCATTTAAAGTTATTTATCGTATTCCTACTAGTTTCCCTTATGATGTTCGATCTCATCTCTTACACATAGCAGAAGCTATAGGGATTCGAGCCAACAAGCCAAGTCTTTGTGTTCAAAAGAAATTTGTAACACCCTTATCTCTTCCTGATGAAGATCTAATCGAAAACAATATTGTTCGCTTATATATGTTGTTATAAAAGATAAGTGTTATATATATGTACACCTCCAAATGGGACGAAACTCCCGTCCTGAATGCCATTACTAGTAACATTTCACCTATTACATATAAACTTGTGGTAAAATGATTACATTGAGGCAATCCATACAGGATCTATATATACCAACTAACTTCAGTAAAAAATATCAACAACGTAATCATCTCAAGCATGACAAATTAGATTATAAAGAATTTATAGTTTGAAAGGGAATAGATGAAATCGACGAGCATATACATGTAAATATATACATTATTACAATAACTTACTTCGATCCTGTTTTCGTTTTTTACAATCAAAATCTAATCTTCGTCCTTCGAGTTTTTTACGATGATACTGGAAGGATAAATTGGCAAAGATAAAACTTAATCAGTAGAATAGTTTATATAATAAAATGACAAGTTTATATACAAAATATCAACACAAGAAAAACAACATATCATAAACGATTGAGTAATATCAATTTTATTAGTTCCTCATTCTCTAAAACATTCAATCTTAACTGTTATGCATACAAATCAAGCATAATGAAGTAAGAAAATTGTTTAATGAAACTGTAGAAGGAAATTATTTGCTTGAATAAGTCAAATAGCAGTAAAACTAATTCCGATTCGGCTAAACAGCATAAGCTAATACGCAAAGATGGATAGTGACTAGCAGTGGAATCTAGACTGTATGTTTCGTCCTATTTGGGACTCGTCAGCTGGATGTACCTGCATTCCAGAGTTGATGTTTACTCTGGGACTCGAACCCAGTATCATTCGCTTCAGACGCCAACGCGTTATCCACAAGCAAAACAATACCAAATGAGCATAAGCTAATTTTTTATTTCTGTACAATAGATCAATATCACGCATCACAAGTAGACTTTATTTAGTCAACCAGGGGGTGGAGAACTGTTTCATTCTAGTATAAGACAAAAACAATAATGAGTACTCAGGACCGTGCCAGAGATCGAACCTCAGAATTTAAGTTTAAGCAGTAAACGCCTAAAATTTAGAGCATTGAATCAATGTCCAGTACTAACTAAGATCAATTCATGATGTAAACTATAAGTAGACAAATTATTCGAATAACGTTGCCAAACAATTCGATTTACTTTGTAAGTAAGTACATAAGTATACAGATTGATATTTTTTTCAATAATTTTCCGTAAATTGTGAAAAACATGTTCATAACCATAATGAAATTAATGAATCAGAATTAAATTTCGATATAGAACACAATGGAATAACTAAACAATAACAATCAACATTATTTTATTCATTACAGTAGTGTGAAGTATGTACAACAGATTGTTATCCAGTGTTGAGAATTATGAACTGATACATAACTTGATTAATAAATAAACCATTAGATACGTAAAGTTGTGTATTATAATAATAATAGTAATATAGAGGTTTATCAAAGTAACAAAGTGTAGCTTATATGCAAAGATGGATAGCGACTAGCAGTGGAATCCAGAATGTATGTTTCGTCCTATTTGGGACTCATCAGCTGGATGTACCTGCATCTCAGAGTTGATGTTCACTCTGGGGCTCGAACTCAGTATTATTCGCTTCAAATGCTATCGCGTTATCCACTTAACTACTGAACATAGATAGGCACTTGCTTATGGCAATAGGGTGAATTTAAACTGTAGCTTAGTTTGCATAAATGAACACTACGTATTATATGATCATTGTGTATGTTAAACAAAACATTTAGTGAGTTTCCATCTATACCTTGTAAATAATGATATTGTCAATGGAATATTCAAATTAATTAGATAGAGAAGTTCATAAACCTATCATTTAATGATTAAAGAAACTCCTCCATTGTATAATTAAATATTATGATCAAGATTAAGCTGAAACAAAACCCTTGATAAAAATCTTCAAAATACATATACTTACATTGATCTCTTTTAATTCATGTGTTTGTACACTATGTAGAGGATCTAGAAAATTCTCTTTGACATGTTCTTCCATAGTGTATTTAATATTTGCTAAACATTTAAATGTTTCACCAGCTTCTACAAGACATTGACCTAAAAAGAAAGTTATATACATGGATATAGTATGGATTAAAAAAATAATCTAGCCTATAAATAAAACTAAACAATCAACAATTTAAACATACTTACAAAAATGATGTACTAATGAAAATATTGAATGTATAGTTCTGGTCGAAAACTAGTTAAAACATAAAATTCTAACTTATTCTTTAGAGAAAACACTAATGTGAATAGTATCATTCTTGACATAGATGAACTTTCACAATTGATTGATCATTGGGTGGTGGTCAATGTCATGTGTGTCAAGTCCTTCTTAGTGCAGATCGAATGCTATCGACCAAGATGCAATGTGGCCACCAGTCTAGGTGATTCAACATGGCGTGACATGCGATCAAATCCATGAGGATGCACCAATTCCTTCAGACTACAAGTACACCTTGCTGACGAGTGCCAAGTAGGACGAAATTCGGGTTAACAGGGTTTCCTGTTGATTACTTCTAACCACCATCTTATCTCAACAGTTGAACTTTACTGGTCACGTCTTTAAAAAGGTTGTATTCCTGAAAAGTTCTATATTAAGATGAGTCAGCTATTCGATGCTTCCTGATTTCAAACGTAACACCGATAGATGTTAGTTCGTGATGAAAACCACTTACAGATGATATATTTCCTTGACAATACTTTTTTTCAAAATAAGTTTATACGGAAAATCAATCTGATGATTGGATGATATCTTTACAGAATCTGCATAAAGATACACTTAACAATTGTGGACTGTTTGAAATTTTGATAAAATAATCACTGTAAGGCGATGTTAAGTAAACTTTTCGATTACCTAAATGTAGTCAGTTTTTAAAGAACATAAAGTCGTCTGTCAGAGACTGTCAAATAATGACAACATTTGACTTATTAACTTCACAGTATGCAAGTAGCCAGCCACTAAAACACAACAAACAGGTAAAAAAAAAGTACAGTGAACTTGACAAAATTGTGTATTTTCAGCTCGAATTGTCAAACTACAAATTGAATCAAGAGTATGTCGAGAAGAAGATAACCGAAAAAATGAAAATCCCGTCAATAGTAACACACAACACTAGAAGATTACAACAAATGAGATTCAAAATAAGATGAATGATGGACGGCCTTGCACAAGTGTAGTCGAGTTTGAACTAGATTACATCAAATAGACGTCATCAACAGAGCAACTAGCACATGTGTGATCTTGCCCATACCACATTAGCACGACGAGACGAAAACAACAAAATGTATAGCAGAAGAGATCATAGTAACGTAGTAGCAATGATAAAGACTAAGCTCTGGAAATATGGTTCCAAAAAACATAGTGAATCGACTGAATTTAGACATTAGCACCGTTGGATGCTCGTCCAGTGGTCTAAAGGTTAAGTTTTCGCGTGCGAGACCGAAGGTCCTGGGTTCGGGTCACGCGTGCGGAATCGTGGATGCGCACTGCTGAAAAGCCTCATACTAGAACAAAACGGCCATCCAGTGCTTACAGGTTTTCAATGGTGGTCTAGTTTAGATCAACTCATGAATTCAACAATGAAAAAGTATGTGGGAAGGAATACTGGAATTCATAACTGAAAAGAATGTAAAACATGAATGCATCGGCACTATTATGAAAGGTCCTGACCCATGTCTCTAACCACTGATCACTCTTACCATGTGGACTCAAACCATATAGTCTGCATCTATTAAAATGGCTTAGTTCAACAATTAATGACTTCATGGAGTGACGCCATATTTTGATTTGGCCACATCTATCTTTTTTATAACATACTTCTACACCAACAACCATCACTCATCGAGATAACAGAGGATTGGGCATATGTAACACATGTCATAACCAATTCAGCCAATGAAGATTAAGGACCTCATTAACTGGTTTGCCACCTTTACCAAGTACCATAGACTAATGATCTAACCTTAACATTACTCACATGATCGTCCCAAGAAACACAAGCACTGTTTCCAAAATACCTATCATCAAAAACCTTTAGTCTACACATGTCTCCTACTTCCAGAAGAAAATGTTTCGCAGAAATCAAGTTATAGAGTGGATTACCCCACCGTATACATCCCGTTTGGTTGGTGGACGAACATCTTGACTACGCCACAGGTGACGCTAGTAGGAGAAGTCAATCATGCTCTCTCGATTCGTACGGAGAGTTTGCCAGACATCGACTCCCCAGGGTCGATGAGACTTCTAAGATAAGTGAAGCGGTCAACGAACTCAACTACTTCACTTTCTATCATTGGTTCTGAAGCAACACTATGCATTTAAAGAGAGACAAATGCATCCCAAACATGCACTGTTGCTCAATGTGATTAACAAACCCTGCATCAAATAGGATCATGTTATCTAGGCATTTTGAGTAGATAAGTGAACATAGCCACAAGGTTTTTGACCAAAGATTATAAATGTATTGGCAACATTACTCAGGAAGCTTGATGTTTACTTCCAATACATGTTATATTTGACATAAAAACTTGGAAAAATGGGGCCCAATAAGGTATCCCATAAAAAACTTGGAATTAAACTTTATGAATCAACGGAATATGTTTTTCTGATCACCCTTAAACATTTCTCAACCTATTCTAGACCAGTCAGCATAACACATCATATAAGCATAAAGTTACTGAAAATATGACAATGCTCCTATATATCAATTATTATAACTGATCATTAAACAATACATTAAGAATATAATTGCATCGAAACTCTTGAGTTTTCATAAAAATGCTTATTAGCGAATAAGATAATAAAAGAGTTCTGACCAATATGACTGGGAATGTTAAACGGTCTTTGTTTTTATAGTAATAGTTCTAATCAATGATGACATATTATAGATAAAACTGGGGTTGAATGACGAGTCAGATAGTGAATACTACTTCAGTGACTATTCAACCAAGCAGTGTTTGCTATCTTTGACAATAATTAGAGGAGGTAGGGTATTTAGTATATAAAATGACGATGGCGTGATGAAATGAAAAACCTTTGTTAATTAAAAATGAACTAGTGTAAACTTCAATACAAAGACAATTAACAAATATTGATCAGATCAAGATTTAAGTATGAGAAAGTTATTAGAAAACTTATATCAGTGTTAAACACTATATTAAACATACCATAACATGAATCAGGACCTAAATCGCGACCAAATTTTACCATACATTCACCTAATTGATTTTCAGGTTGAGGATAAGCTGCACATTTTGATTTCCCTTGTAACTTATTTAATGTATTCATTGTCATTAATTTGGCACGATAGGCTGGATTTGGTTGTAGATACTCTTGTGTTTGTGCTATGACATCTTCAAATAATTTAGAAATTGTATCAACTTTCTAAATGATAGATTTAAAAATTAAATATATAATCAAAACTTGCTTTTTCAATTTCAATATATTCATCATCTAGTTTTGTACCCTCTGCTCCTCCAATCTTCTCACTCATAAACTGAAAAAATGGGGAAAAAATGAAAAGTAGATTTGTCTTATTAAAAACAATTACATTTACAAGATTACTAAATGTTTTTTACTGGTTTGATGATCCTAGATTAAATATCATAATGAGAATGATACACTGTCTATGGGAATAATACAGTTACTTATTTATGCCTGTTACTCCTCGTGAAAGAGCATTGGCCACTCAACAGCATTCTCCATACAACCCTATCCTGGACAATACTTTCCAGCTACTTCCAGTTGTTATTCATCCTTTTCATATCTGCTTCTATTTCTCGACGTAATGTGTTTTTTGGACTTCCTCTTCTCCGCTTCCTTTCAGGATTCCAAGTTAGGGCTTGTCTCGTGATGTAGTTTGACGATTTGCGTAATGTATGTCCTATACATTTCCATCGTCATTTCCTAATTTCCTCTTCAGCTGGAAGCTGGTTTGTTCTCTCCCACAGAAGGCTGTTGCTGATAGTATCCGACCAATGGATGTTGAGTATCTTGCGAAGACAGCTATTTGTAAATACTTGTACATTCTTGATGGTGGTTGTTGTAGTTCTCCAAGTTTCAGCTCTGTACAGTAGAACTAACTGCCTTGACGTTCGTATTGAAGATCCTGACCTTGATATTGGTTGAAAGATAGTTGTTTTGAGTCCCATATGTTCTTCAATTGTAGTAATGTGGTTCTTGCTTTGCCAATCCTCGCCTTTACGTCTGCATCTGAACCTCTCTGTTCATCGATTATGCTTTCCAGGTATGTGAAGGATTCTACATCTTCCAGAGTTTCGCCATCAAGAGTGATTGTGTTGCTGTTCTCCGTGTTGTATTTGAGGACCTCGGTTTTCCCCTTGTGTATGTCGAGGTCTATTGATGCAGAGACTGCTGCTACACTGACTGTCTTCATCTGCATCTGTTCGTGTGTACGCGATAGGAGGGCTAGGTCATCTGCGAAGTGCAAATCGTCTAACTGGTTCTGAGCTGTACATTGTATGCCGTGTTTTCCCTCAGATGTCGAGGTCTTCATAATCCAGTCGACCACCAAAAGAAAGAAGAAGGGAGAGAGTAAACAGCCTTGTCTGACTCCGGTCCTTACTTGGAATGCATCTGTCAGCTGGTATGTTGTCGGGTCCTGCTGCTTTCCCGCTCTGGATTTGTCTGATGGCCATTCTGATTTCTTCCGTCGTTGGTGGATTGACATCTATAGGAAGATCTGCTTCAATGTCCGGTGGATTCATTGGAGCCGGCCTATTCAGGAGTTCTTCGAAGTACTCTACCCGTCTGTTCCGCTGTTGTTGAATTTCAGTGATTGGCCTGCCTTCTTTGTCTTCGGCTAGTCTCTCTGGTTTACTGTATTTCCCTGCTAGTTTCTTCGTTGTATCGTAAAGCTGTTTCATATTTCCCTCTCTTGCAGCTTTTTCAGCCGTCGTTGCTAGTTTTTCCACGTATTTCTTCTTGTCGGCTCTAATACTCTTCTTCACTTGCTTGTTCGCTTCTATGTACTCAGCTTGTGCTTGAACTTTCTCTGCTCGTGTTCGGCTGTTGTTTATTGCTGCCTTCTTGTTCTTCCTTTCTTTGATCTTATCCAGTGTTTCTGTAGAGATCCATTCCTTATGATGGTATTTCTTTAGACCGAGAACCTCTTGACACGTTGAAGTTAATGCTTTTTTGATACCTTTCCAGTTGTCCTCCATAGTAGTTTCTTCTTCCTTCAGCAGATCCTGTAATGCTTGAAACCCGTTGTGGAGAGCTAACTTGCATTGGTTGAGTTTGTCAGTATTTCGAAGGAAGGCTGTATTGAACCTTTGTAGTGCTGTTTGTCTATTTGTCCAGTTCTCCTTTAGCTTCAGTTTTAAATTGACCACAACTAGGTGGTGATCTGAAGCTACGTCAGCTCCTCTCCTGGTTCTCACATCTTCCATTGTACTTCGGAATTTTTTATTGATGCAAATATGATCTATCTGGTTTTCTGTGGTGTGGTCCGGTGAGATCCATGTAGCTTTGTGTATACGTTTGTGTGGAAATATTGTGCCGTCTATGACCAATTTGTTGAATGCACATAGATTTGCAAATCTTTCTCCATTTTTGTTTCTTTCTCCCAGTCCATGTCGTCCCATAATATCTTCATATCCAGTGTTGTCTATTCCGACTTTGGCATTTAGATCTCCCATCAGAATAGTTAGGTCCTTTCTTGGGCATTTCTCAATGATTGACTGCAGCCGCTCGTAGAACTGATCTTTAATTTCGTCGTTGCTATCATTGGTGGGTGCATAACATTGGATAATATTCATTGTTATCCCCTCCTTTGTTTTGAACGCTTTGATGATTCTGAATCCGTAAGATTTCCATCCTACAAGTGCATTTCGTGCTACTTTGGACAGCATTAAAGCAACTCCCTGAGTGTGTGGGGCACTTTCCTCCTCGTAGCAGGAGTATAGTAGCATCTCTCCCGTATTTAGTCTTTGTTGTCCAGCTTGTGTCCAATGGGTTTCGCTTATTCCCAGTACTGCCACTCATATTTTACCATAAATGACGATTTTTAACTCAAAAATATATTACAACTCTAAAAATGTAACTTGCCATTAGCTGGTTAAACAATCAATGACTTCCAGTGTAGATGCCTTATCCTGGTTCGACTCTCTCTGATTTCCTTAAATCAACTTTTATACTAACATGCACAGCATATAAGGTGGTTTATAGGCATGAATAACACATTTTAACTATTTGCTTTAATGGAACTTCATATCAACAATAAACTTACGACCTTTATACAGTACTATAAGCTTAGCCTCATTACTTACTTAACTGATTCTATGCATTCTAATTTCCGCTTACTATGTCTAAATGGCGTTGCGATTGGGATCGACACATATTTGGCTCAAGTTCTAGGTTATTCATAAAATGTGACCATATAAATTTTGTAACAACCCTCTGAATAATAATGACTAATTAACGATGAGGCTTAGTCTACAAAAGCGAGGACAATACTTATATTTTGAAGGGTTTGAAGTTGAATTTAGCGAGCAATGAGACACCAGTTATTATTACCATGCAGTACTAAAGTAATTACCATTTATTTACAAAAACTCGGCTTGTTAAATAGATCTTTGTCTTGACAAATTATGATAGTGACAAAACTATCAAGTTTATCAGACTTGATAGTTTGCAGGCTACAACTTATAATATGCTTTGGATTCAAAAAGTTTCAAACGTCTTGTTGGTATGGGAAATAATGGTAGAAACCAAAATCCCTATATCAACCTAAATTTATTATCTCTGAAAGTAAGATTTTCGACTGTTTTTCAGATCACTTACGAATATTTGTTGCATCAAGACAGAAGAACAGAAAAACTGACAGCTATAAGACCGAAATAGGTATTGATAATACCAGCTGAATATTATCAAATCACTGGATACAGAAATAACAACATAAAACACTGTCTAAAATCCATATTAACCTCGTTTGGAGCACTCTCTTTAGATCGGTCCTACTAGAAACCAATACAACAAAGTCAAAAACCTTTTTGTAATACATTAGGTCGAACTGGCGGTATTCACATCGTATCTATTTCACTATATGTTGCCCATTACAGATACTCTGATTCTTCGCACAAAACGTTAAGAATGAACATTATTGATAATCGATGTTGACAACTGGCTGAATAAAACGGTAGTCTATGTAGTGAATTTGTTTTTAGTGACTAAAACATAGTTACATTTGCCACGAGTAAAATAACAACATATAGAATTAACCAGTCAATCATCAACGTACAATCTGATACAAATGCGCTTCCCAAGTTACCGTTTCACACTAACATGACGATGTAGATAGCAAATGAAATCAAAATAACGTAGTTGCAATGATGATGAGAAAGACCGAACACCAATAATATGATATGCATGGTATCCATGTATGTATTATTTATTTATTTATTTACTTATTTATTTATTTATTTAAACATAGTTGGTACAAAAGGGCACCAAATACATATGCGCCACACAAGTCACTTGATTTGTGTGTGGGCTGTGATACTGTTCGGGTGCCCAAAACGAAGCAGGTGGTCTTCCTAGGGGGCCACAACCGGAGTCTTCGACCTAAACGTCTGATTCACAAGGCAGTGGAGCGACGTTAGGAGATGCACTCTCATAGTAGCCGGTAACCAACAATAGGTTCATACGCCATTTGTTCCCCTGGGATCCTGCAGCCCATGTGCACCATTGGTTTGGAATCAGGGTTTACCAACTACCCTATATGAGTCCTCCATATCCACCAACCCGGTTAAAGCACCAGACATTCGCTTTTCTTCCACTTAATTTCGTAAACAACACCCCCGCCACGAGAAGGCAGTGAGTGTATACGCGTGGCCATGTAAAAGCATTTCGAGAGGGAGAGCTGACTTTCAACACCCTCAACCGTACCAGGGCATTTGAGGGCATCTGTGTATCTGAGTGACAAAACAATATGACTGTATAGAGAGTAACTAATAACGCTTAGACTGATCTCTTACCATGTCGTAGAACATAAAGCGAACTCGTAAGAGCACTTCGCGTCATTATTAATCTTTTAGGCGCTAACATATTGTCTTCTGAGTCCTCCTACAACGCATCATGTAGACAATCACGAAAAGGTACAAACACCACGATCGAATAAAATCATTTTCAGATCCCGTTTTTCCACTAATTAGTACCAACCCCATCAGTAAACAATTTTAAAGAGAAACTTGAATTTTTTTCTGTTTTAGATGCTAAATAGATTCGAAACGTACTGGGGTTGTGAAATACCCTGTACGCAAAAATACCCTTAACTTTTAGCAGTCAAACGGACGAGAAAATTTATGGACGAACCAATCGGACCCAAGATCTCGAGTCTTGGAATTTGAGGCAGAATTCATTCATTCATATGGCTAAACTACATTTTGGTATTGTAGCAGATATCAGTGAGTGATGAAAACCCTCATTCTAATTCCTGGTGCTAACTTATGAATTCAACTTCTAGTCTCAGTTCCCCACACTAATTTATATCCCTATTTCACCCATAATAAGTGGTTGAAGCTGTTCAAAGACACTTGCACCGCCCAAAGGCTGTCCATAAACCATTGCAGCGAGACTATAATTTATGGACTAACCAATCAGACTTGGGATAACAGGTCCCAGATTTTGGCGCGAAATCTGTCTATCCATTTAGCCAAATACCATCTTGGCATTTTAGCTCTCAGTTCTTGATGAAAACTCTCGCAAATCACATTCCTTATTTTCCACACTGCTTTTTAACCCTCATTTAGCGAGTATGTACGTGGACATTCTTAAGATAACTTCAGCGTCGCCCAAAGGTCGTTCATAAATTATAGTCTCACCAAAAAGCCACACGAAGATTAACAATTAAAAGACAAACTAATCAGACCAAACCTGTTCATTTAAGTTTGTTAAGCATGTAGAATCTCCAGATACAACTTACGGGGAAGAAATCCGTACCCTTCGCCTCCTAAGCCGCAAACGGCACTGTTGGGCGGAATACAAACGAACTAATAACGATGGAGCGTATAGGCAATACAAACATATCAGGAACACATGCACGAAGGCTATAAGAGAAGACAGGCTTCAGTACCAAACAAAGCTTATGGACAAATTCGCCTCTAACCCTAGAAGCCTATTCCGTTATGCAGCCTCTCTTCGTCAAGCCAAAACAGGAGTTTCTCAACTGCTAGGTCCTAACGGCCCGACCAACAACGATGGCGACGCCGCTAACCTTCTGGCGGCCCATTACTCTCAAACATTTCAACCGGCTGATATCAACTTTATTGACGACAGTTTCATCTGCAATTCCACAGGACTTTCTGAAGTGGACCTAAGCGCTGACTTGGTGTTCCGGAAACTGCAGCACTTAAGACTTGACACTTCTCCTGGCCCGGATATGGTTCATCCTGCCATACTGAGGGAGGCAGCCTCAATCCTGGCAACGCCGCTTAGCGTGATGTTTTCACACTCGCTTAGCCGAGGCAAACTACCGGAAAATTGGAAGTTGGCTCACATCACACCAATTTTCAAAGGTGGTCGACGCAATGAACCTTCAAGTTACCGGCCGGTAGCTCTTCTGTCGTTACCTTCAAAACTCATGGAGTCCCTGATATGCGACGGTTTAAATGACTACCTACTGTCCTCAAATTTCTTCTCACCCCAACAGCATGGTTTCAGGAAGGGTTACTCTTGTATAACCAACCTGCTGACTGCGGTGGACAGATGGACAAGCATCCTCGATCGCAAGGGAAAGGTTGATGTCATTTACCTTGATTTCTCAAAAGCTTTTGATAAGGTTAACCACTTGTGTCTTATCAACAAGCTCAAACGACTAGGTATCAAACCACCTCTAATCGACTGGCTTAATTCATACCTAAAAAATCGACACTTTAAGGTTAGGGTTAATTTCACTTTATCTCAAGCTATGGAATGTCCTAGTGGGGTCCCCCAGGGCTCAGTACTAGGGCCTCTTCTCTTCTTGATCTACATAAATGATCTTCCTCAACAGGTAACGTCAGACTTATTACTTTTTGCCGACGACGTGGAACTTTGGAGAGAGATACGCAACCAAGACGATATACAGGCACTTCAGGAGGATCTGACTCGACTTCAAAGTTGGGCAGACGATAACGGACTTACCTTTAACACTTCAAAGTGTAAAGTAGTCCATCTGCGACATGTCGCAAACTACAGTTACAACTTAGGAAACTCCTCTCTAGTAGTATCCCAAGTCGAAAAAGATTTAGGAGTCCTGGTGCCCCATGACTTAAAGTCTTACGCTAACTGTGACAAAAATGCCTTCCGAGCAAACCTTGCACTGGTAACGTTGAGGCGCATTTTTGGCCAGTTTGACGGAAGAACTTTCCACACAATCTTCAATAGTTTCATCCGTCCCCATTTAGAGTACGGAAACATAGTACTCCCCCCCTCACTCCAAAAGGATAAGGTCACTTTGGAGCGTATCCAACGGCGAGCCACGAAATCAGTTCGAGGACTCAAATCTAAGCCTTACGAAGAACGCCTCCGTTCACTAGACCTTTACCCACTAGAATATAGGCGTCTTAGAGGTGATTTATTAATGGCTTATAGTATTCTTAACACTTCTGGACATCCTCTTAAACACCTACTTAAGCTTAGTTCGAACAATAACCTAAGGGGTAACACTCAGAAACTGGAAACACAACATAGCAAGACGGAATGTAGACACAACTTCTACTCCTTAAGAGTTGTCAAAAGCTGGAACTCGCTGCCGGCCGAGCTAGTCCAAGCGACTTCTCAGGAGTCCTTCAAGAGGCAACTTGACCTATTCTTAAGGACCAAGGACAGCATCGCACTATGATTTACCAATTTCTTTTCCTCTTTTATTGTTAACATACCTAGGTTCCTGCCTGGAGGATTTGGTGATCCCCTGCTACTAGACACGGAAGCCTGTTAAGCGAAAGCTTCTTCTATTCCGTCCACAACCATTTGAACCATTTGAACCATTTGATTTAGAATAAATCGTCGTTAAATTGACTAACTGCGAATCCTGTTCATAGGCCTTCCATACATTTTTGATTATTACTCGTGTTCGTTCGTAGTTACACAGTTTGACTTTCGAACGACTATTTAAGGTATATACTAAATTCTAATGGGTCTTGATCGACAAGGCATTTATACAACAACTGGGTTTCTTACTCTTGTTACCGAAGGGAAGGAGAGAACCTTAAGTCTCACCCCTTCTGTTGAAGTTGGATTTAGAGAAACGAGGACCATCCCATGAACATAGCAGTCTTACTAAAAACACTTATTAGGAGCAATAGTTCAACAAGTAGTTTATAAGCTTTTCACTGGTCCCGCTTTGCGTCATATAGATGAGACGTGCTATTGTGGATTTTAGTATTCGCACGATCGTAATTCACCGAAATATTGGTTTTAGCGGATAACTGGTCAGCAAAAAGATAGTGTAAACAGAATCAAGGATAAGCGGTCATTAAACAACACACGGAAAATGTGATACTTGTGAAATGAAACTCGATGGTTTCATTATATGGATGAAAATGTACATGAAACAACGAACTAATTGTCTTGAGAGCAACTCACCTGATTAGCTTTGTTGATTTGCTTCCTCAGACCAGCGAGAGACATTTTTGCAGACCTTGACGGAATACCATTCAAAACAACCGCGTTGGCAGACAGCAATGAAAAGTGAGGTGAAAAAAAGCACCTTATGTTCAATGACACAGTTTGAAAAGAACACGAGGCTACTTGATTTGTGTTAGTCCTGGCAATAAATATTTATCGTTTGACCTAAATCTTTTTTGTGAGCGTCGAACGATTGAGTTTAAAACACGTATTAAAGTAATTATTTTCATTCGTTGACTATTCAATAAAAAAATAGACTCGAACAGTTCAAATAGTTCAGATAGTTCTGGACTGAATGGAGGAGTTATTTACCTAACGAGCCTCCACATCTAGTACCGTTTGATCACTGACGTCCCAACGTATGGCCCAGGCATATTTAAAGATAACAAGAAAATACTAGTAAATTCTAGTGAAGTGCTGTCTGAAGTCCTTAAGATTATTTCAAGTTTTCTCCCAAATGACTCTTGTGGATTCTCTTATACTACTTCAAACAACAGCAAATTCCAACATTTAACTACTCGTAAACAGTAAAACGCGTACCCAAGCTCCATAGTAGGCGGCCTGCTTGAGCATCTGGGCTACCTGTTCCTGCCATCTAGATATTTCAACAAGTTATCTATTGTTGTTTGTTTTAATATATCATTATGTTTATTAATCGCATAACCTATTCTGCTGTGTTTCTGAAAAGTGTACAACCTTTCGTTGTCAAAGTTACAGAAAACTCAATAAGAGACAATATGGTTGCTGGCAATATACAACGAAAAGAATGTACATTATTCAGATGTTCATTTACTGGACTGCTAGCGCCTAACTGGCGATCACTCAATATTTATCGTCAGGATCGACCGAGAAGAAAGAAACGGAAACTTGTTGAAATACTTTGCGCTGAGAATTCTATATTGTACCAAAATTATAATATTGAATAAAGCTAATTATAATAATTATAATAATAATAATAATAATAATAATAATAATAATAATTCTATTATTGTTGTGTCTCTAATCTTCGAGTGTCACCCCTAAGTTTCGTGTTTAGACTGAACCCAAATAGGTGCTCAAGAGGATTCACAGTGGTATTCGTGATGTTGTAAGTCATTAAAAGGTCATCTCTGAGACGCCTATACTCTACTAGGTTCAGTAATTTGAACTGCTCTTCAGAAGATTTGAGTTTAATTCCCTGAAGTGATTCTTTGGTTTATCTTTGGATACGTTCCAATGTGTTCCCAGCCTTTTGGGGTGAGAGAGGAAGCACCATGGTTCCATACTCTGAATAGGGTTTAATGAAACTGACGTAAACAAGGTGGAAAGTTCTACCGCCAAACTGGCTATGACTATGGGTTATAGTGTACAAGCACCCCTAGATCCTCTTCAACTTAAGATATCTCTAGATGGGAGTTAACTTGGTTGTGCAAGTAGTCTGCAACATGCGTCAGGTGAACTACTCTGCACACTGAAGCGTTGAAAGCAGGTTCGTTGTTATCCGTCTGACTTTGAAGTACTACCTTTTATTTTGCTTGCAAACTCCCTAAAGTTTCACATTGTCAGCAAAAAGTAAAGAATCGGACAATGCTTGCTGAGGATGGTTATTTAAATAGATTAAGTAGAGAAGAGATCCTAAAATCGAACCACGAAGGGACCCCACTTGTCACCAAAAGCCCAATGTCATTAACTGTGTATGTATCTGTACGTTCATCACCATTGTGCCTCACAATACATTTGGAAGCATTTACTGACAACTGCCAAGGTCTAGATCATTCACATAGTTTTCGTAGGTTGTTTGGAAGCTCTAAAATGTCACCCTTAATTTTTTATTGGTCTCCTGTATGTATCATCAGCTGGCAAGCATTCATATAAATAATTGGTTTGTTGTACACTAGAGTATGTCTCTCATGAATGAACTTATAATTCAATACTTACTGTCAGCTATTTGTCTAAAATTCACATGAATTTTTGATAACCATTCATGGATTGTAGTGGCTTTATTAGATCCTATCACGATTAAATAATGAGGTCTCCCCGCAACTAAACAAACCGTATTAAATTTGGCAAACAAACTGGAACACTAAATAGAATTCTTCCTGTTCATAGTTATACTTTTCTCCCTTTAGTTAGCCCGCTAGTGCAAATTGAAAATCAAATCATATGAACAGTATATCGATACAGACGTCAACTGACTTTCTAATCTAAACTAAAAGTAATTCCACAATCAGCACTGATATGACAGTGATTGCATTTATATTTCTTAGCACAAACTGGGCTAACTAACGGCTATTACTATTACTATTACTGCAACTTGGTAAAATATCGCTACACGGAATCATTCTTAATTACTATAATCCCATTTTGTTTAACACTAAGATAATCGTCACATAGATTTCCATTTTGCGAGTGTTAATAATGAAATCAACATTAGTGAACGCGGTAATATTCATTCGAGATTTAATCGGATGGCATGACTCAACCTTGTATGCGTGGTCATTCATTCACAACGAGTATACTGTTCCAGCTCTGACTTAAATATGTCCTTTGAAAATACTAAACGTCATATTGCTGGTGGTTACGATACGACGAGTCATAATAGACGACAATGTGACTTCCACATAAGATCTTGTGGATTAGTCAGTCACATCATGACAAGTCTATACTTTTAGGATTAGGTATATTATTATGGCAGTAATAGTAGACCATGGTTCTATGGATTTACCGATATCAAGCTTACTTAGCAGACCAAAGTCATCGAGTTTTTTAATGGGTACAGTGTCCAATACGTTTGTGGGGTTTATATGAATTGAGTGGGAGAGCACCTCAATGGTATGTATATTGCAAGAGTAAACTGAAAATGCCCGATCTTTACCATAATGACGTAGCACTACTATCTCCCTATAATACTAGAAATGTTTCTCTGCTCAAAGTCCTTTTGTTGATTTATGCGTAAACGCTTTTACGGTAGTCCACAGACTACTTAACAAGTTTTTCTCTATAAAATCTTTGAGACTTGCGGAGCTTTGAAGCACAAATACTACATATTGTGATCTTGTATCATCACTATCCGATTGCCTAAATTTCACCCACATCATTGTTCTCTTAGGAAAAGATGCATGATCTCCTTGATTTTTGACATTATTCACAAATAGCTTATGGATACTTAAGTGTTCCAAAAAAAACTACTTTGGGCTTCATTAGAAATGCAATAATACCCAAGTCTCAATAATGACAGCAAAATATTTGACATAATAAAAAACAAGTCCCGTGTAATTGAGAAGAATATTGAGTTGACTTTAGAGAAGGGATGGGGGAAACTAAGGGAATAGAAATGAAGGAAACACAAAATACATTATTAGTTTCGTAAGCGTCTTTGTGAACACAGAACAAGAATAAATGATTACGTGGTTACGGTCAAATGAACAACAAAAGAAAGATTAAAAATAAATACACAAATAAGAAAATAACTTATTATTGCAGCAAGATTTGACGGAAGGATAAGTGTTTGTGCAGTAATAGCTTGAAGCGATGGTATGAAAGTCTCAAGTACTTGCAAATAATAATCAAATATCAATATGTATAAGTCATATATACGTGATGAAAATAAGATGAACCTGAGAAGTCAATTTATTTAACTGTAACATGAAATAATTTGTTTTTAGTTGTAGACTTTGGATGTTTAGAAATATAATATGTTTAGAAGAAAAAGAAAGGATGAAAACAATATCAAATGTGTCGGAGTACCAATCATAATAATAATAATAATAACCATAACAGTTATAAATATGAACATGCGCACACTTCAGATATTCAGATGAATAGAAAAAAAAACAAATTAAAAACGAGAGAAGTTCCAAAAGTTATAGTTTGTTTTTCAGTCAACTAAGTCGATGACGGACCTTTTTTGTATAAATCATTGTGAAACACATTGATATTCAGTAGGTGACAAATGCACTTTTAAAAAGCAAAATCGGGAAGGAAACTTCTGGACCGGCTTATAATTTCGCTTCAACGGATTTTCACTGGCATTCTGTTCCACATGGTTGAGTAGAGAATAACAGAAAAATTCTGGCGTAAGTTTGTGTAGGTTCTCGGAGTCGCCAGAATATTTCCTTTATTGCGTAGGTTGTGGGATGATATAATAGAGTGCGAAGGTGTGGTTGTCGAAGAATAAGAAATACCCTTTATAAGCCGGCAGATATAGACTAGATTTAATTTAGTACGTCTGGTCAGTGGTGAGCATTTTCTCATATCAATAGGCGGTTCTTATTCTATTATCTAAACTACGGAGGGAAAAAATGGCATTTCTAGCGTCCAACTTAAAATTCTGTATGATTCTGGGTAGCAATATAGAATCGTTATTTCTCTCAGAGTCTCATTTGGATTGTAGGTAATGGCTTGAAACACACAAAATAAGGACAGAACGATAGTTAGTACTTGAATGCCTTACTACTCTGAAGATCGACCCCAAGTGTCGTTATCTATTATCATGGTATATAACTGAGATGATTCGCTGGTTTTTATTAGAACCACTTTAAACGCGCCTTTGCATAAGCAGTTATGGACGAAAACTCTAAACCACTGGGTAACTATCCAACGGTGTTGATGTCTAACTTCAATCAATCCATGATCTTGCTCAACCCTTCATCGATTGTATGAGGTAGATAAGTGACTCCATCCGAAACGGATTGGACTCCATTCCTCATGACTTCTCACTAGAACTACAGGAAATCAATCTTGAAGCTAGTCACTTGTCCCGTATGTGCACTGCCGAGGGGTCTCATGCTAGGACGAAACGACCGTCCAGTGCTTCCAGGTTTTCAGTGGTGGTCTAGTTTATATGGACCCATGAATTCAGCTATTAATATTGACAATAAACTTTATTCCGAGTGATCATCCGTTTACTTTGATCTCAGTAACTACAGAGACATGTTCCACAACCTTCGGTATATCAACCAAGACGTCAGCGACTTGTAACAAGTTGCTGTTGATGCATTCGCCAACTAGATCATGAGGTCACTACAAAGACACCACCGATTAGAAACGACGCTAATCTTTTATGCACCTTTTAAGGATTTCCTCTCTTTTCTTCTGGTACTTTCATAGGAATTTTGTATTCTCCATATCACTGTCGTGTTGGTTCCATGAGCAAGTGACTGTATATAACTTTTGCAATGTTATGAAACTGTATACTCTCCTACTTTTGCTCATAACTCAGTAGTGTGACATATACCTGGAAACTCTATTCGGGAGGTTATGTTAGTTAAAACCCGAAAATATCGTGAGCTTAGCGCTTATTATTTCATGATAATATAAACTATAATTCCCAAAGATCTGGGCAAGCAATCCTTAAACTCGATGGTCTAACGGTTAAGCGTTTGCGTGAGATCGAAGGTCCTGTGTTAGATCCCCAATTTCAGGGACGTAGTTGCGCACTTCTGAGTAGTCAAATACTAAGACGAAGTATCCATCCAGTGCTTTCAGGTTCTCAAAAGCGGGCTGATATTGACTGGTTAATGATCTCAACAAAAAGTCGACAATCTCCAGAACCCCATAGTGACAGTCCTCAAACTGCTGGAGAAATACTCCATACTGATTACATCATGTAAACGCCTTTAAATGTTAATGGTTACCCGACTGACAAAACAATTTCTTATACGAAACATGGCACCAGAATCATATGAGCATAACTGTATGTATGACACTTATCACCATTAGGTCATCGTGACTATACAGTAAATATATGACACTAGAACTGTTTTGAGAAAGAAGATAGCAACACATTTTTCTAAAAAGAATTCTTTGAATATTCAAAGTTAGTAAATTGATGTGACCCTCTGAAATCCCTCCGAAAGGCATGCTCAAGACAACTTTATAGAAATAACAGCTCATAACTCAGCAGCGAATTGCCTGATTGAACAGTTTTAAGGGTAGTTGGAAGGCTTGTCTATGATTGAATGCAATCAAATGGATTGATTTCTTACCACTTGTCCTCAATGAAACTCACCCGACAGTCAAAAAGGATAGCCGTCGCATGTCAACGGAGGTACTTTACGGCACACATCTGATTCCAACAAGATGGCTGGTCAGTTCTGATGACAAAACACCAGTGAATCTGCTGTTTATTTATTGCAAACTGATCATCAACGAGTACTTCCAGGCGAACACATAACAGCTTAAGTTAGATGGTTACGAGTTAGCAGATAATTTCTTGTTAACGTCAAAATGTTATGGCTCAAGTATTTATTGACTTCTGTATTTTGTGCTGGTATTATATTCCCTACTATCGCATACATAATGTTTAAAGGTCTGTAGTCTTAAGAAGTATGACATCACGCTCCAATTGTTCTCTTTCACCGTCTGGACTGAAGCCTACTACAACCAATCTACAGGATTTTGGGCTACATAAAATGAGGAGTAATTGCCAAAACCAAATTAGTATTTACCATGTACAACTCGACAAACGTTTAACGATGTGCGAATTCTCTTTGTTCATATCTACTTATTGAGGAAGCCACCACAGCAACATTATGAAGGTTCTTGTCAAGTTATCAATCAGAAGGCTAAACATCATCGACAAAGATATGAAGGAGACTTTTGACAAATCGACTAAAACCTTCATTCTTAGATAACCAATACAGAGGAGAAAATGTCACGTTAAACAAGCAAACTCAACTGCATTTTACATAGAACTAAAAGAACAACAACACATTAACCAACGAATGCACGTTTTCAACGTCTCAGCAGATCAGTAAACAGACGCAAACGCTACTTTTTACCTCGTAAGTTAATAAAAATTAAATACGAAAAAAGTATTAACGAGTAAAATTCACACCCAGTCCATTCGGGTCGTTAAGAGTAATTGGTTTTATTAAACGCGGTGATTATATCACCATTTATCTATATCGTAATTGCGCGTATATATTTTAGAATGTTTGTTATTAGTCAATGTCAGGACAGCTTTTTATCTGAATACACCTGTGGAGTAGATTGGTTTCGTATTATTATAAAGGGCCATTCACAGTTACATGTTTTAGGTTACACGATTATATACATATGTTGTAACTGTAAAGTAACACCACACAGCATCAATGCACATCTTATGTTTCTAAATATGTGTATTTGCACAATCATTTTCGCAAATCAACACCACGTATTTTCGTTTACGTTTTTGGGCGTGTACTCTTCTTCCCACTTTGGACACTCTGGAGGGAGCTCTGAGGAGATGGTTAACATAGACTCATTTTGCAAATAATTTTTGTCCTTATCCACATCTTTCGCAAAGTCACCTAGTTTATATAGTCATTTTCGTTGACTACAAATTATTGTCAAAATGTGACCTTGACTTTTCCGTTACCAATATGTGATTGGTGTACATGACTCACTGATTAGTGATTACATCAAGACAAAAACTTGCGCGAATTTTCGATGGTTTTAATACAAAAATCAAGTTATATCAAAATTGATAGTGTCTCAACAGAACCACTATTACTATATAGTCGAACGTCATGCAGGGAGAAATTAGTAAATACAACTATTAGTACCTGTGGATCAACCAAAATATCCACAACCGAATAGGGTCAAATTTATATCCATAAGGACTGAAATATTTAATAAGGCAGTCACAAGAGACATTTAAGAAAAGATGAGCGACCAATCAACTCTGCGGCCTTGGATTCAGTCACGTAAGACCATCAAGAGTGGTACTTGAAGTGCTGAGTTTACTATAAAATTATGTTATAATTTATAAGGTCGTTTGTGGCAGTTTTGTGTGATTATGCATGAAAATCTCTAGGCATACACTACATTTTGATTTAGCTTGTCACTCCAATCATGATTGCGAATACACAAATGTTCATCCCCTCAGGTATATACCCCACAAATCTTTCGGCTCCAAACAAGACGGTTATAATAAACCTTTCTGTGGTTCTTGTATTTCTTAATTCTCTACTGAGTCTATACGATTCTCACGAACATTCAGGTTGTTTTACTTTAAATTTTGATTACAGCGGCTGATGTATTGAGTTCATTCCCTCTTTTATGATTGTGTTGCTTGGATCGACTGTCATTTTGCACTTTTTGATTGCGAAATGAAGTAGGTCTACAGTACTCGCAACACCCGTTTTTTTAACATATAATCCTTGATACTTTTGTCACTGATATTTTCATAGATCTAAATATCAAGTTCTGAACAAACTGTACGTGATCTATCCGGAAAGGATTTAATGGTATTCCTGTTTTAATACAAATGTGTTTTACTTAAAACTGGTAGTTAAGTATTCCATGAATTTATCTACTTAATATAATCCATATTTGACTCTTTGAGTTTATGGACCAACTGTTAGTTTAACAACTGAATGATAATATTCGCTGTGGCTATTAATTAAATATTCATTTACTAGTTACTTTGATTCGAATATCGACTAATCAAGAGCATGAATATCTGAACTAACCTCCACTAGTGTCATTAAGCCCGAAGCCGCTTTACATTGGAAATAACTTCAATATTAATGATTTTGATTACTATGGATTCAACTGAGCTTCCACCTTGATTTGTTAGCATAGGTGGATTGCTGCTAGCAGTGATGTACAGGACGCGTGTTTCGTCCTGTTTGGGACTCGCCAGCAGGATTCTCATACATCCCAGAGTTGAGGTTCACTCCGAGACCCTAACCCAGTACCTTACTTCTCAGGAGCCATCGCGTTATCCACTTAGCTACCGAGCTTTGATAGCCATTAGCTTGTGGGGTCACCCAAACAACCAATAAAGGAATGAATTTCGGATTGTTTATAATTTTAACCTTAGACTTTCGGTTTCTGTCAGGCTTGTGCTTCGGCCTTTAACAATTCAGGATTAGAAGTTGAATAATTACGGTTCACTATCGGGACTAATATTTACACAAGACTTTTACCGTCTCGCACTATACAAACAAAATTTGGTCATTTCGAGTCTGAAGGTTCGTTTTACCCGTCAGTTGGTTGAGAGTTGAGAATTCACCAAATAATCACTTTTTCAAGCGTCCAGAGTAGAGAACTGTGATACAAAAACGATCATTGTATCAGCGGTTCGGCAATGTGATGTTTTTTAATATCTGCAATGAACAGTAATTCACGAGGTTCACACAGTCACGTTTTCCAAAATCCTTGTATAATAAAATTGCCCAAAGATAAAGGTATTACTTTGATACAAGGAAAGTAGTCCTATCAGTGGTCGAGTTTTCAGTCTAATCCGCGTAAAAATGTACGCTCCTAAAGAGAAGGGAACACAATTCTGTCAATAAGAAACAGGAGCAACCGGTTAGACAATCAAACAAATGACCATCCAGGTTCACGTTATTTGTCTTTAAATTACGTTTGGTATCTTAGGATTCTGAGGAGGGACTCATGATATGGTCCTCTTAAAAAAAGGTTAACGAAAAAGGTATATTCACTTCAATGTACTTGTAACCAACATCACATAAAGTCACCCCTAGTATGTGACCTAATGATATTTGTCGAGGTCATCAGGAACAGACAGCAGAAGTAAAATATGCATGTGGTTTTTGGTTTCGATAGCATAAAGGCTTTGTCAAACCTTTTTTACAGATAATTACTGAGCTAACTGGTACGACTTGCATTTTATATATGTACCTCCCTGATAAAAATCAAATGGAATGTAATATTTCCGCGAAATTTTCTTGTGTTTGATGCTATCTAAATTAGAATTTGGCTGGGTCGCTCTAAATAGTGATTATCGCTAGTTGAACGATGTGTTACATAGACAATCAATCTGTAGAATAGTGCGTGACTATCTTCAATCATATTACTTACTTGACCGGCTAAAATGGGCCCTCCAACAAAATTAATCGGCAGATGTGTTTCAAAAAAATATTACACAACAGCAAACAGCTTGAGGTTTACACTAAAAAGAAAAAAAGTTGATGTTAGTAACTATTTTGAGGTCTTCAGACGACGACACTTCACTCTATTATGTGAACTCCAGAGAACCATGCTACCCTACACGCAGTCAACCTATCTCATTCGCTCCAAATATGGGATTCCCGCCGTTCTTCAAGTCGTTCAAGGTTGTAAAAGGAAAGCGCGGTCGGGTTTGAAAGTCAGTCACTTTTTTCAACATAATAAACACGGTAAGATAGAAACAACCTTTGATTTAAAAGTTGTTGGTCGATTGGTTGATCGTATGGACACTTCTGTTTGAGTAGTATCAGCCGGCTGGAATGTAATTAGGTCGAGAATTCATATGCATCTCATCGGGGGAATTACTCCGACGGCTGGAATTGTGCAATTCCAGCTAACTGATCAAGTTGCTCGTTACAACTTACTCCTATTCTGAATTGTGACGGATTCCTCATTCCATGCCAGTACATCTGGCCGTAATTATCAGGTTGTCTTAGTCATACTTCATCATTGTTTGTTGTCGATCACTTTCATTACAAATGCATTCTGTGTTGATTTAGTCGTTCCCTCTCTCTTCTTGTTCTTTCCTCGTTCACACTCCCCTAGCACTTAAGTGCATTCAGGATGAACTCATACCGCCACAGCTAACTTTTATTCAGTGCCCTGTAGTTATTTTTTGTGCTTCACTTGTATTTATTTCTATTTTATTATTCTTCGAGTCAGTGTACACTAACCTAGTGTAATAGTTCTTGTCGTCATCTCCATTAATATCCACTAAGAATGGATAGTTCACAGTTGTCAATTTGTAATTAATCTTCCGAAGTTAAACAAAGTTCTTATGTTGTTCAGTGCTCCGTAAGCACCATTGATAGACTGTAAATTGAATCATTTCAATTAAGGTTATATTTTAAGATCTTTGGATTAACCTTCCATTTATTTTACGATTCGCGTACAAGGTGACCTAGGATAGTTAGCATGATTTATTACACTCACATTTGTCGTCTAAAACATTTTAGATGTATCAACCAATGTCGCAACTTTAGTTTAAGTGGGTCAAGAAGAAATAACTTTAGACTTGAACCTTCTTTTCTCCTAGTTGGGTTAGGAAAACTCAGGAAAGAAGGCTAGTTCATAAGCCAGCAACGGACAAAACACCTCTGGCATACAAGTTTTCTCACCAAGTAACTGACTCCTAGAACCTATTACTGGAAGAATTAGTGTCCAGGCCTTCAATTAGTTCATTTGGAAGAATATACACTCACAGAACCCTTCTAGGACGGGACCAGTACGTGCTCTCGGCATTCTTTCAAGATAAATAATTCAAGTCTTGGTGATTTATTTATGGACAGACGTGTTTACATAGTGTTCATGGGCTCTTTGAAGTATCTGTGATTCATCACACAAGGTCATATCCATCTAGTAACCGAAATTACTATATTGGACTTTGTCGAAAGTCTGAATTATTTTAAAATATGGTGATTATACGGATATCTGTCGGTGTACATAAGGCTGTTCACAAGATTGAATGTGAAATCATTTAAACCTGTTATTTTTCGGCTTACACGTTAACCTTTAAACATGGTGTGCATTCGTTTAAACTCCGCCTAACACTATATCAACCTTTATTTGAGGTCTTAGCGTAGATATGTTTACGATGAGAACACCTTGAAACTATAATTTGTCATATGACAGGTGTAAAAAGATATACCCTCCAGTTTGCAACTACTTTTGCGGTATGTTTAAAACGTGGGCAAATGTCGCTGGACATACCTTAGGCTCTCTTTTCATTCGACTATCGTCGTGCACCATAAATTTGAGGCCTTTCAATGTCCGTCGACTAGTTTTACTTAACTGTAGTTTATTTTTATGGTCTCTGGATATGGTTTATAATTATGTATGGGCTGTTTGGTGCATAATTTCACGTAGGCAGTCATCCATGCAAATCAAGCAAAATGATTGACACCGATCAAGTAGTCAACCGGAAATACTCAACGTAAAACCTGGCACATATATACATTAGTTCAAGTTACTATATCCTGTTAGCGCAGCAACATGAATTTGTTAGAACAAATCTCAGAGTAGGAAGTGTAGCAACAATATTAGTGGTAACAGAAAAGATTAAGCATTGAAGATACAATTTGAGGCTTCATATTTATCAAAGGGATTGTTATTAAAATCTTTGGAGCTAGTGAGATTTTCTGAAAAATATGGGATAATCATCCACTATCAGTCCATAAGGTTGAGACGATAGGCAGAACACCATGAAGAACAGTTTAACTTTCCTCTAGTTGACTACTTTTACTAAGGAGCCTGAATGGAATATCGACATTTTTTTATTATTTATTTATTTTAACACATAGATATTGGTACAAGAAGGCACCAAATACATATGCGCCACACAAATCTTATTCGATATGTGCGAGGGCTGTGATACTGCCTGGGTGCCCAAACCGAAGCAGGTGGTTTTCTTAGGGGGTCACTCCCCGAGCCTTTGACCTAGAGGTCTTACCCACAAGGCAGTGGAGCATCGTAAGGAGACGCAGTCCCATGGTAGCCGGTGACCAACGATTGGTTCATAGGCCATTTGTTCCCGCAGGATACTGGAGCCCATGTGCACCATCAGTTTGGGATCCGGTTAAAGCGCCGGACATTCGCTTTTCGTCCTCTCATTTTTGTAAATAACACCCCCGCCACGAGAAGGCAGTGAGTAGGACTTCCCTGGCAGAGGCTATATACGCGTGGCCATGTGAGAGCATTTCGAGAGGCAGAGCGGACTTTCCCCACTCTCGGCCGTACCAGGGCATTTGGGGGAATATCAACATAAACCTCCCAACTCTTAATGAAGTAGAGAAAACCATAGCTAATCTAAAACGAGGGAGTTTAATTCATTTTGATTATAGTCAAAACATGTTGCAAAAATAAGTTTAATCTTATCAAAGGTACATTCGCATAAGTTGAAAACCTTAAACTACCTTATGGAAGAAATAAGCTACCTATCTAGATGAATCACTCTGATTTTAACTGTTTGATATTTTATTTTGAACATAATAGAGCACTTGTTTGTGTCGGCGGTTCAGTAGTAAAATGCTCGCCTGCCACACTGGTAGTCGGGGTTCAACTCTCCAAATGTCCTGGCACGGCCGAGGGTGAGGAGACTCCACTCTCCCTCTCGAAATGCTTTTACATGGCCACGCGTATACACTCACTGCTTTCTCGTGGCGGGGGTGTTGTTTACGAAATTAAGTGGAAGAAAAGCGAATGTCTGGTGCTTTAACCGGGTTGGTGGATATGGAGGACTCATATAGGGTAGTTGGTAAACCCTGATTCCAAACCAATGGTGCACATGGGCTGCAGGATCCCAGGGGAACAAATGGCGTATGAACCTATTGTTGGTTACCGGCTACTATGAGAGTGCATCTCCTAACGTCGCTCCACTGCCTTGTGAATCAGACGTTTAGGTCGAAGACTCCGGTTGTGGCCCCCTAGGAAGACCACCTGCTTCGTTTTGGGCACCCGAACAGTATCACAGCCCACACACAAATCAAGTGACTTGTGTGGCGCATATGTATTTGATGCCCCTTTGTACCAATATTTATGTGTTCAAACAGATAAACTTCATGTTTTATTTTCATCGACTAGTTTCTCCTTTGAATCAGACACGCGTTTTGTTATTATTTTATTTCGCGTTATTCTCGTCTTGTTTCGACTACTCATTTTTCATTTCATGCGCTGGCTGAAAATGCATTTTAGATGTATTCAATTAGTGTTAGTCAGTGGAGGAGCTGATGTATGTACTAGTGTAAGTTGTAACAGCATTCCGTAATGGGAAAGGAGAAATGAACAAAATGGAGATTCAGGTGGTGAATTAACACAGTACAATTATGATGATATTAGATTCAATATTTAGAGTCGGAGAGAATAAATGTGACTAGCCATATCACCGTCTTTATATTCAGTATGACTGATAATATGCTATAAGTTGTCAATGACCGTAGACTTCAAGATAAAATTAGAGATTGTTTATATACTATATGTTGGATTTGTGTGATTACCAAATATAATTCATGGAAAATGTAATCAATGTCAATTAAGATGAGTTCGCGTTATATATACAATCGCTTAACTCAAATGTATTTCTGAATTAATGTACTGGAGATTATCAGTCGAAAGCTTCAATCACTAAATTCTAGGTAGAGGAATAGGAAATAAGACGATAGTATTTTCGTTCACTGTCTTGTAATTGTAAAATATAAGCATAGTGCCTAAACGTATCATTATAGAATATATATTTTCATATTATTACATTATTAATTCTTAAATTTATTTCTGTTCAAATCAAATTTATAATTTATGAAAATTTGTTCAACACCATTAATCCATACCAGTTTAAAGTTGGCATGGTGTTATTGACAAATTAGAAGGGATCAAATTGTTTTTTTTTTTTTTATTGATTGAAATCATCAACCGATTGATGTTTAGACCACTGTTGGAAACCTGGAAGCACTGAATGGCCGTTTCGTCCTATTGTAAGACTCCTACATAGTGTACATTCACGTGTTACGTATTCCTGACTACCTCGACCTTCGATGTTCAGTGGTATAGGAGTAGGTTGGAAGAAATCTAGGGACGGCCAGACCAAAACATGGCACAAAACCATGAAGTCACTGACAAGTGGACTGAGTCATGTTGGTAGGTGCAGACTACCTGGTTGGGGACCGCGAGATGATAACAACCGATGGTTAGAGACCCTGAATGACATGGCTCAAAATCGTTTGTAATGGCGCAGGTGCATCCACTCTTTGTGTTTTCCCAAATTCTAATCTTCTGAATTCTTCATGTCCTTTTTTACTGTTCCCAAATTTATTTCACTATATTATACTCCTTGAATAACATCTTCAAACCCTAATCTTCCCGATTACTACTTATACTCTTGCTACCTCTACCACTATGAGATTTGAATCGACAACTGCATCTGTGTGCTAATGTGGTTGTTAAGTTTGTTTTACATTGTTCCTGCTCATTCCCTTCCTACTCTTCTGTATATTGTTTTATACTACTCATTTACATTCAGTAAGCAGTCGTATTCCTAACAATTTTCAAACTTACATTGTAACGCGAGTTGTTCTGTAATATTCCGAATTGTTCACATATACTTATAACGTTTATTGTACTTATCATTGTATGTATTATTATAATTACTGTATCTTGATCACTGTGGCCGTTATCCACAGTTTTGTGCATTTGTTTAAACGCAACAGTTTCCATATTGTTTGCTCTTGGTTCGAGTTTCGGTTGCTCATAAACTGTTATCCAATTTAGACACAGCTATCGGCTATCTTTGTACTATCGAAGCCTTCGTTATTTTCATTCTTGAAGGACGTGTTTAAACGCCTAGACACCTCAAAAGTTGAGAACTGTTAATTCTATCGAAGCGTCCAAGTAACCCCGATTGAGATACGCGCAAAATCGAAGTTCCAAAACAACGATTTGTCTACAAAAGCGTAAGATTGTTGGGGCTTTCCGATACGTTGATCGAGAACCCAGTGGGCTTGTGGAACGTCAACTCCAATTAACAACCCTACTCTGTCGCATGTAATAGTAGGTAGCCGTACACCTTTCAAATGTTTCCATCTTTTCTGGAAGTCGGTCGGTGGCATTTCTGCTTTTTTAACAGGTAGGTTATAGATAGTGTATGCACCTTCTATCCTTATTCGGTTAGTCTTATCTAAAGATTCAACCTCGAAATTAGTAAATTCAGCATTCTGAGATGATGCTCCAATTACAGAGGATATGTTTAATCGAGTCACTATACCTGAAATTCGCACCTGCTTTGCCACATCACTAAGTAGCAGTGTCGTGTCTGAGCCGTTATCTAATAATGCATATGTATCCACGTGTCCTGTGGAGCCATGTAACCTGACTGGTACAAATCCCAAATACGTTCCAGTAGAATAAGTAGAATTACAGCGTGCTTGTTTAACATCAGGTTCTGTGTTGTGAAGAATTCTATGATGACGTCGCTTGCATCCATCGATTTCACACAACACGGGTTGTCGGCAGTCTGTTGCTCGATGATTAGGTTTTAAACAATTAAAGCAAAGCTTAAACTTCTTCAATAATTCTAACCTTTCGTTGTGATTTACTGCTAGCAGCTGTGGGCAAGATACGACTTCGTGAGTATCAGAGCAAATTACACAATGAACTATTCCTTTACTCGACAATGTATGGATCTTAGCTCTAATAGAAGCAGACTGGTTGTTCGATGTCGTTTGAGCTTTGTAGCTTCCACTTGCTAACTGTCTGTAAGTGTTCGTGGCGATTGACACTCTCCTTTCTAAGAATTGCAACAAATCATCAAAATTGGGCTCTAGCCCCTTTCTTAAAATATCGTCTGCGGCTTCCGCCCATTTAAACTGTATACCTCGTGGTAGTCGTTTCACTATTCGCTTTATATTGGTCGAACAATTCAGATCGGCATTTCTGCTCATCTGTGACAAGACTATCTTACAGTCGGTCATGAGTCTCGTTAGTTTCTGTAGCCCCGTTACATCATCTTGAACATTTGAGCAATGAAGTGCAACTCAAAGCACTTAACCCCAAAGACAGTTGTTCGGTTCTACACGAACAGTTCGGCAGACTACATGACATCGTTGAAGCGTTCTTAACAGAATTGTTAAATGGATCACCACTAAATCAAGACGATGTAACGGGGCTACAGAAACTAACGAGACTCATGACCGACTGTAAGATAGTCTTGTCACAGATGAGCAGAAATGCCGATCTGAATTGTTCGACCAATATAAAGCGAATAGTGAAACGACTACCACGAGGTATACAGTTTAAATGGGCGGAAGCCGCAGACGATATTTTAAGAAAGGGGCTAGAGCCCAATTTTGATGATTTGTTGCAATTCTTAGAAAGGAGAGTGTCAATCGCCACGAACACTTACAGACAGTTAGCAAGTGGAAGCTACAAAGCTCAAACGACATCGAACAACCAGTCTGCTTCTATTAGAGCTAAGATCCATACATTGTCGAGTAAAGGAATAGTTCATTGTGTAATTTGCTCTGATACTCACGAAGTCGTATCTTGCCCACAGCTGCTAGCAGTAAATCACAACGAAAGGTTAGAATTATTGAAGAAGTTTAAGCTTTGCTTTAATTGTTTAAAACCTAATCATCGAGCAACAGACTGCCGACAACCCGTGTTGTGTGAAATCGATGGATGCAAGCGACGTCATCATAGAATTCTTCACAACACAGAACCTGATGTTAAACAAGCACGCTGTAATTCTACTTATTCTACTGGAACGTATTTGGGATTTGTACCAGTCAGGTTACATGGCTCCACAGGACACGTGGATACATATGCATTATTAGATAACGGCTCAGACACGACACTGCTACTTAGTGATGTGGCAAAGCAGGTGCGAATTTCAGGTATAGTGACTCGATTAAACATATCCTCTGTAATTGGAGCATCATCTCAGAATGCTGAATTTACTAATTTCGAGGTTGAATCTTTAGATAAGACTAACCGAATAAGGATAGAAGGTGCATACACTATCTATAACCTACCTGTTAAAAAAGCAGAAATGCCACCGACCGACTTCCAGAAAAGATGGAAACATTTGAAAGGTGTACGGCTACCTACTATTACATGCGACAGAGTAGGGTTGTTAATTGGAGTTGACGTTCCACAAGCCCACTGGGTTCTCGATCAACGTATCGGAAAGCCCCAACAATCTTACGCTTTTGTAGACAAATCGTTGTTTTGGAACTTCGATTTTGCGCGTATCTCAATCGGGGTTACTTGGACGCTTCGATAGAATTAACAGTTCTCAACTTTTGAGGTGTCTAGGCGTTTAAACACGTCCTTCAAGAATGAAAATAACGAAGGCTTCGATAGTACAAAGATAGCCGATAGCTGTGTCTAAATTGGATAACAGTTTATGAGCAACCGAAACTCGAACCAAGAGCAAACAATATGGAAACTGTTGCGTTTAAACAAATGCACAAAACTGTAGATAACGGCCACAGTGATCAAGATACAGTAATTATAATAATACATACAATGATAAGTACAATAAACGTTATAAGTATATGTGAACAATTCGGAATATTACAGAACAACTCGCGTTACAATGTAAGTTTGAAAATTGTTAGGAATACGACTGCTTACTGAATGTAAATGAGTAGTATAAAACAATATACAGAAGAGTAGGAAGGGAATGAGCAGGAACAATGTAAAACAAACTTAACAACCACATTAGCACACAGATGCAGTTGTCGATTCAAATCTCATAGTGGTAGAGGTAGCAAGAGTATAAGTAGTAATCGGGAAGATTAGGGTTTGAAGATGTTATTCAAGGAGTATAATATAGTGAAATAAATTTGGGAACAGTAAAAAAGGACATGAAGAATTCAGAAGATTAGAATTTGGGAAAACACAAAGAGTGGATGCACCTGCGCCATTACAAACGATTTTGAGCCATGTCATTCAGGGTCTCTAACCATCGGTTGTTATCATCTCGCGGTCCCCAACCAGGTAGTCTGCACCTACCAACATGACTCAGTCCACTTGTCAGTGACTTCATGGTTTTGTGCCATGTTTTGGTCTGGCCGTCCCTAGATTTCTTCCAACCTACTCCTATACCACTGAACATCGAAGGTCGAGGTAGTCAGGAATACGTAACACGTGAATGTACACTATGTAGGAGTCTTACAATAGGACGAAACGGCCATTCAGTGCTTCCAGGTTTCCAACAGTGGTCTAAACATCAATCGGTTGATGATTTCAATCAATAAAAAAAAACAATTTGATCCCTTCTAATTTGTCAATAACACCATGCCAACTTTAAACTCTTCTGGATCAATGTGCGTACGTACGTAGTTCTACGTTGTCACTGACTGACATCTGCGATCCTGTTCGTGGGATAGGAACTCAGTGCTTTTAGTTTTACGCGTGAACTCTTAGCCATTAAGCCAGCATTCAATCGATTTGATGTTTATCATTAATTCGTTTTCAGTTTCTTTTATCACTTCTTTCTTTTTTTCTTTTTTCTTCTTAAATTAAGACATTATGAAAAAGAAAAGATCTGTTGCTACCGAATTAGTTCAACGTGCTTCATCCATATTGCCAGCATTTACTGATATATTTGATGAAGAAACATTTTATATATTTTTTATTTGTCTTGTTATTTTCTCATTTATTATAGCATTTAGTATAGCGAAATATTTTGATATAACAATTAATGATGCAGATCATTTAAAATTAACTAAACGACAAAAATTAAAACGACACTATTCAATGAATCAACAAAAATGAAAAAAACAACAAAGAAATTTATTGATTTGTTTTCTTTAAACTTTATTATTGTTGTTGTTTTTCTTTTTGTTGTTTATTTTATCATGATTACTTTAGAAAGAAAAAACAAACAAACAAATATCTCCCAACACCAACCCCACCCTACCCCCCTCCGCAACTAATAGATCATGATAGTTCAAGTCAATGATGTACTTATCTTTCATCAAAATATACAAGGTATTATGTTTGTTTGTTTGTTTGTTTCCATGGATTGTATTGTGTATTTATTCTAGTCAATTGAAAAAGTCTTTTATTTTTTATTGTTGAATGATATTCCTTTCATATTTGTGCAATATCTCCATGTATTATGTCTAGTCAATGTGATGAATTCACTTCTTTTATTCTTATGGGCAATGAATTTATATTTTTTGCTTCAAGTTTACTATGATCTAATATTAGTATTAGATTGATCTGATCATGTTGTTATGCAAGAATTGAACATTCGTTCATTTACATAAATAAGAAATGAGTATGATTGTTTTGTTTTGTTTTAATATGAAAAGAAATACATATATGATCCTTATGCTCTAATTACCAATCACGTATATATATATATATATATTGCTTTATCATATTTATCCTGTATATAAAGATATTAGTTTAGCAGAAGAAAATGTTTATCATTTTAGTTGATGGTCTTATCTTCTAGCATCGGTTTCATTAAGAAGGGGGGGCACCATATATATATATATATATATATATATATATATATATATATATGCGCCACACAACAATAATGAGAATAGGAAGAGATAAAGAATGTAAGGTGTGTATAAAAAGAAAAAAAAGAGAACAATAACGACTACAAATCAGTGTAATAGTAGTAATAATAATAGTGGAGGAAACGGAAAGGTACAGTCAGAAAGAATCCTTTCAGCTAAGGAAGAAGCAACCACTTTTTATGAAGAAAGTAAATGAAGGTTACAGCAGGATCGCCATTGGCTTCTATTCTAAGCCATATGTGATAACGTATCTAGCCACTGTGTTACACCATCTCTGAGACCCCAACCAAGGAGTCGTGAATGACCAATAGATGCCAGTTCTGTACAGCATTCTTTCATACCACGACACTATTTCATACACTGACCACTTCTCCGCTTTTTTCAACCAATCCTAGAGTCGGAGAATAATGCACGACAAGGAATTCTCTGGGACGATATTTGTCGAACATGTTCAAGCCACCAAAGTCGACGTTTCAAGATAGTGACATCAATTGAATTATCGTCTGTGTGCCCAAACACACGATGCTGAACCTTTGCATTACTAACATGATGTTGTCACTGAATATCAGCAATCGGTTAGAGACAACGATGATCAAATACAGAGAGTTGTCTAACATCCTTAACTTGAAGAGGCCAGGTTTCATAGGTATAGAGTAAAACTACTCTCACCAACTCTAATCTTATTGCTTAGTGTTCTTGAACACTATTTCACTCGATAAGTCCCCAAAAAAATAAACTGTGGAATAGGAATGTAATTATATTCCAAATAACAAGGTTGGGTGGAAGTAGAATCCACAATAATCTATATCCCGCTAACATCATTATGGACTTCAATTATAAGAATGTAAATATAATTCAAATAGATATTATCTTAGCTCATTTAATTAAAGGACTTGCATTTTATATAGTAAGGGAATTGAAATTGTTCGTTTGTAGAATACTTGTTATGTACTGCCTTACGTTGAATGAGAAGTATTGATGTATTTAAAACATGGAATAGTATCAGTTGGTATCTATTTCAGATGGCGATAATCGAAAAGGTTTTTATTAATAAAAGGGCATTGAAAGGAAGAATAACATTTGATAGGGTATAAAATATGTTCAATTTACCCTCTATCCCTTTATTTATATGACCTATCAAAAATGTAACTTTTTAAACTTTTAACAAAGAGTCTACCTGTTGGGGATGTTACATCCCCAGAACTCACTTGGTAAATACCTTATTTTTGTAATTTTATTTTAAAAATTTGAATTTCTTTGTTTAGGCGCGGAAAGCGCGCTTTTCACCTTTATGTCGTATTTCCTACTCGGAAGAATCTTAAACGTTATTGGTTCGTTGTATCTTTTAGTATGCTATTTTGTAACACTTCCCAAGGACAATTTTATGCTGTATATATACGTTTGATTTGTACCTGTTGTGATCGCTCGTGCTTCGGGGTTTTTGCAGAATATATTTCCCCGTTTCGAACTTGAACTTTTCTCTCTAGTTAGCGGGGCTGAGACGCATCAAAATAGCTAGCTTATTTGATCTTTGTTCCGTTCGCAGACTAGGTGAACTAGTAATCGCTTCAAACATAGCAATACCCTTAACAAATATTTTAATTTCTTGAGTTCGGTAACAATCTGTTATCCTTATTACTATAATCATGTTATTTCGTATATCTATTTTGAACAGATAGAGGATAATTTATTTAGTGGGACATTTCGAAAGTGCCTGATGAATTTTACGTAATGAAAGTAATCTATGATGTTATTGAATAAGGATTAGAACAATTCAGCGTAGGAAATTCTATTTTCGACAATACTTTATTATTATACCTATTATTATCTTCATTCAATATCATATATTTTTGGTACCGTATAGAATACTCAACACAATGTAGTCCAGCAAGTTTCCGTTCCTTACTTCTTGATCAATCCTGACAATCAATATTGAGTGATCGCCAGTTAGAAGTTAGCAGTCCAGGAATCGACATCTGAATAATGTATATTCTTTTCATTATAAGTCGATTCACAATCACTCACATAGCTTGTATTTACTGTCTTAGGAACTGATACTAGTTCTCTAGTGTAAACGCAATGATCCAGGTTGAAAACAATCAAATCATGGGAGATAAATGGCTATTGTTTTTCATGTTAGAAGCATTCTATTGAGATATTGGGGAAAAACTTAAGTAAGCGGGTTTAAGATAATGTTCATTGAGAGCGCAAACATCAGTTATGAGCACATGAACATGGAACCGGAACTAGAGCTAAGTGAGGAAGTAAAACACAAAAATAGGTAACTTGTTGAAATATCTAGATTGCTGGAACAACTAGCCGAGATGTTCAGACAGGCCACCAAAATATGAATTTAAAATTTGCATCAGTTCATTTGATCAAATTACTGAGGCTTAATTTCCGTCCTCTGTCCATTGTTTTCAGAATACCAGGATCAATATCATTATTGACGTGTTAGCTTCCATATAGTTCATATTCAACCTTTATTGATTTTCGTGGCTATACATTTCATATGATAGTATTGTTTCATTCAATCGTCTTCTCAATTAGATGTAAATAGGTGATACCTGTTCTCATTGCCTTCTCGTGGCGGGGGTGTGGTTTACGAATTTGAGAGGATAAAAAGCGAATGTCCAGCACTTTAACCGGGTTAATGAAGATGCAGAATCCACCTAGGGGAGTTGGAAAACCCTGATTCCAAACCAATGGTGCACATAGGCTCTAAGATCCTGAAGGAACAAATGGCGTATGAACCTATTGTTGGTTACCGGCTACTATGATCAATTAGGTCAAAGGCTCCTGTTGTGGCCCTCTAAAGAAACCACCTGCTTCGGTCTGGTTATCCAGGCAGTATTCCAGCCCTCACACAGATCGAATGATTTATGTTGCTCATATCTGTTTGGTGCCTCCTTGTACCATTGTTTGTGTGTTTAAATAAATAAGGTGATACCTGTTACTGAAAAGTCATGAAATAGGACTAAATAACTATCCGATTCTCTCTTAGGACATACATCTCTACCTGTGGATTATTGAACTTCTTATGGTTATAGGTTTCATTTACTAATACTAACTCCGTAAATCTAATTTCTAACCTTAACCATCAACTGTAAATCATAATTGTAATTCCTCACACACTGGTTTATAACTCTAATTTAGTCCTAGTTATTAAGTGGACACTCTCAAGTTCCGTCTAGCGTCGCTAGAAGCTCGTCCATAAATTATAGTCTCACCGCTTCACATCACAATTACGACTTCCTAGAAAATAATTTCGAAAAACTAATTTCTTTATTAGAACAGAAATTTAGAAGAAAAAAAACAGTCCAGAGAATCTCTACTAAACTTTGATGTACTATGGTTATAGCCTTTAAGATAACTAACATGGCTAATATGATAAACAATGTCTACATAAGCAGCGGTAAACAAATAACGCAATTATTACACTATGAAAGAGTAATAACATCATCAAACGGGTATTTTTTGAAAAGACAGCGAACAAGGGCATGTTATGAATTACGGCCTACAAATGTGGAAGAACTGATAAATTCCTGTAGCAAAGCAATCAAAATAAAAGGTCTGAAGTTTCCAGTTTGATAGTTTTATTGAATGATTAAAATCCTTAAGATAATACAACGATTTCATTTGAAATAAGCTTTGTTTTATCATGACTGATAAACAAAGACGTAGGTGATAGCCATGGATTCCACAAAATCGCTAGTTTATTTATAACCATGTGCTAACTAGTGACTAGATTCAAGAGGGATTTATTGGAGTTCTAATGAGATGTCGTGACCAGTGGAGTTCAATCCCTGAGACATGAAGACAGTTATCTATCTCAGATAATGAATAAAGGGTTAAGAAAGATCATGGATCAATTGAAGTTAGGTATCAACACTGTTGGATGCAGAGTCAGTGGTCCAGAGTTTAAGTGTTTGACTCATGAATTCAACTAATAAAATCATCAAAAATGAGTTAAATATTACAAATTTAAGCAAATACACGTAACAACAGAGATGTTATATATTTTCGAAAATGATTCACAATTAGATAAGTTACTGAATATTAGTAAGTAGTATAGAATATTACACAAAGGAACGGTTCCAGCAAGAAAAATAATATGGAGAGCATGAACACAACTAACACATAATTAATATCAACTATCGTATTCTATCTTATTAACTAGTTTGTATTTAATTACAACTATCTAAAACACAGATTTTATAACATTTTGTAGATTCAGGA